CTGCCCATCCCCACTTCAGCATCAAAGATTCCCCTTAACTTCTACAAATATCGACCTTTGGCGAAAGAGTAATTCTAAAACCTTTAAAATCATTTCATTTTTGTGATATTTATCTGTGTCAATCTTTCTTAAGCTCTAGATTTTTCTTACTGACAAGCATAGAAATGTCACCCCGAGGGAATCACATATAGGAACAAAAAATAAACATAAATATAGCAAAAAAAACTTAAATTTTTATAATAGGTATTAATGCGATATATTATAAAATCGTGAGCTAAAAATAGTGGAACGACATATAATCTGACAGTATATAAAATGTGCTAAGATGCCGCTAAAGAAAAGGATCCTCATCCAATACAGTATATAAAACAAAAAATATCATAAGAAAATGGTAATGAAAATAGAAACTAAGTTTTTTATAAATTTAAAAAGATAAAATGTTGATCTTGTGTGGTGAATCCAAGTCGACAACTAATTAGACTGCAATAAAGATAACAAAATAAAATTGCATATCCGCAATAACACTATCATCATTTAATAAATAACTAACCAAATCTCGGCCTACGAATAAATCTCTGAAAATCTGTTTGAGGATCCTTCATATATGGCATTTCCTCACGATCTTCAGTGTTGCTGACCTTCAAACCAACATACAAATTGATTACAACTGCATATAATATTATCAAGGAGGTTCAACTTTTTAGTGATTCAAAAGACATTCAAAGAAAGAAAAGTATTCCTTGGGGGGAAAAATTATTCTACCCATATTCCATACATATATCAAAATCAAATCATAGAAAACTTACTGGTGGAAGATCAGACAAAATATCCTCAAGAGCAAGTGCTTTTTCCAAAGTTCGTGGTTGGCCTTCATCATATCCAACAAGGTTACGCTGCATAGTAAGCATGTTCACATATCATGTTGTAGAAATAATTAAAAAAAATCCAGAGATAAATTATATGCAATAGTTGCAATTTGAAGTTAATGAAACAATAGTTTTTTGAAGAAACAAACTAAATTATTCTTTCAACTGGACAGATAGGAGTTGAGATTTTGAACTACTCTATAATCAAATCCAAAAAAAAAAAACATTTCATCAAATAAATGATAGAAATTTTTGCCAATTAAAAATTGCTTTCCTTTCATTTATGCGATATGAGACTATAATGTTAACTTTAATTATGAGAATAAATGAGACACGTTCAATTATACCTCAAATTCAACGGAAGAGCCATGCTTCAAAATGGTTTCGTGATTAGGAAGTGGGAACTGCGGCAATTTCTGTGCAAAGAATTAGACAATATAACTGGGATACTTAATGATAATAAAAATTTTACCTCATTAGGATGACAACCCCATAAAAAGACACGCAAGCGAAATTGGGGAAGACCATAGCAACTAGCAGCCATAATGCCTAATCTGGCTTGGTAATTCATCTCAATCAAACGACTTAAAGCATACCGCCCAAGTGTAGCCTTGGCAAACTTCAATATATCAACAACATTTTCCATCAAAACATATTTAGGCTTCAAAAATTGCACAGTATCCATGAAGACAACAATTTGGCGATTTCTTTCATCATCTAATGGCGCATCAGCATTTCTAAAACGATTCAATCCACTAATACCTTGACATGGTGGACCTCCACAAATAAAATCTACATCTCCCTGAACAGAAATATTCAGCGCTTCAAGAATGTATATATGAAACAGAAAGTCACGCTGATTTTGATCCTAAGTATTACTATTCACGAGATTCAATTTTCTGCAAAAAAACTAGCATTGAAATAGTACAAAATACTTACAGGGAGTGGCAGTAACTTTGACGAGATTCCTTCTCTTACAAAATCTTTAATTCGGTCTTTGCAGTTGCTGATTAAATGTAAATCTTAGAATAATAGTGTTAAAATTAAATAGAGATCTTAGTTATGCATTAATATACCTCAAATTTTCAAGTGGCTCCCACGTGTCTTCACTAGAATCATAACCCTTCCAGCGAACCTGGATGCAGCATGTTGAAAACTGTTATGTGGCCCCGAGCCTAAAATTTAGAAATCTGGGGAATTTCAGTAGGTTTGAAACCAAAGAAATTAAAAATATTGTAGAAGTATGATTTCCAAACACTATGTGGTCATAGATATAGTCTCTGAGATTGAGATTTGACACATTAAACTCTAGAAAAACAGCATCAAAGGCTAGTTCCTCCAATAGCTGATCTTTTCATCTACCTAAATGCTTAGGGTTGTGCAGTTGTGCAGCGTGCTGGTGGAATACATACCAGAAGTTTATCCATGTACCAACCTACCATAAAACCATGTATCCACCTAAAAACCAAAGGATTCAGTACTGTGCCAATAATCCTAATAGTTAATGAATAATTTGTAGGCTTCCAGTAGATCTGACAGCCAAAAGGAGACATTTTAAAATAAAAAATACATCATATCCTTAAGAACATCCCAAACAAATACATACTTGAATGTATACTTAACTGTTACATTCCTACTTAAATTATCTTTACATTTTGTCTTCTCAAACTAGCACAGCTCTTCAAACTACAAAATAGAAAGGATCCTCAGAAAAACATCCAATGCCGGAGGACAGAATCCCGCTCGCCAAATATATCTAAAACAAAATGTATAACTTTTCTTTTCCTTACTGGTTTTATGAATGCATTCTTTCAATCAAACTACAAAATAGAAAGGATCCTCAGAAAAACATTCAATGCCGGAGGACAGAATCCCGCTCGCCAATTATATCTAAAATAAAATGTATAACGTTTATTTTCCTTACTGGTCTTATGAATGCATTCTTTCACCGTCAAATCTTTTCTGTAGCCATCAGGTATCATGCTCTTCATTGTAACTTCGCTGCTATGATTGCCTGATACAGCAGGCTTGGAAACAGATAGAACATAGCATGAAAATGAAGGATGGAAATATGTAGGATGGTAGTGCAGCAGGTACTGTTGGTGTTATTAGATATCCTCAAGTCATGAAATGAGTGAGAAATGAACTTAAACTGAATAATTTCACTTAATAGCTTCTACTATGGGAGAAGGAAAAAACAATTTAAATAGTGTTTAAAAAAAAAAAAAAAGTGCAGCATAACATAAGATTAAAAAGCAGAAACATCATACCTTAAATTTCAATCCATGCTTTCCGGATTCTGTAGGGTCACCGTAACAGATATCCATAAGTTTCAACACTTCATATTCTTTGGAAGAGCTCTCATTGCATGTTTTGAGATGGGATTCATTCAATCTGGTGCTCATTGAATTCATCTTGCAACTTTTACCAGCACTACTAGCATATTGGCTGCAAAGGTTACTCCATTCCTTCAATAGCTCAAGAAAATCATCCACCTTCTCATTTCTAACCTATTCAAACAAGCATGTTTCCTAAGTTCTTATGTGAATATCGAATGAAAGCTCAACTTCTTTAGTACAAGGAAATAAAGCTTACCTGAACTTCTGGATGATTTAACTTTAGACTTTGGCATGCAGCTTCATCAAGATCAACCGACCATTTCTAATCAGAAAGCAATGGATGAACAACTAAAGGAAGCACAAAAACCAAAAACAGACAAAGGTGTACTGCAGATAAGGATCATTGAAACCAGACAAGATACTTGCCGTCACAAGCTTTATACCAGCAGCCTTAGCTCCGAGACAAAGACCAGTTGACATCCCCCCACAACCTGAATATAGATCCAATAGAGATAGCTCTGCCTTTGCTGAATTACTATTAATAATAGTTGGTTTCTTCAAAGTATTCATTTGAATACCACTGAAGCGATCAGCTTCTGAGCAACTAGAAGATAAATCACTCTTTTCACCCGACTCACCTGAATTTGTAAGGTAAATAACCACAATAAATGTAACAAGTATATAAAACCAACAACGTTTCAACTGGAACTTCAAAGATACAACGTGAAATAGAAAAGAATGAATAAGACCCCAGCAAATCCGTAGTAGAGCCTAGACCTCGACTCAGCAAAAAAGTCCTAACAAATTGACAGCATCTAGTCCACTGCATAGCTGGATAATTGCCACATCACTCAAGTCGGTATTGTGCAGCATGAGAAGCATAGGACATCATGCAGTTTTTGTGAATATCAGAATTCTAGGAATATGTAGCACAATATCCAAGATATAGGTGTAGTGAGAAGGAAGAAGGATTTTAAGTCATGCAACTTAGAAAAGATGAGAATCTGGTTATTTACCGTGCCCAACCTCGGACGCATTTTTGCAAAAGCTCCTAATAATGATAACATTCATACATGAGCTTCTAGGTCATGCACACCTTTTATGGCACTGTGGAAGACTATGAGTTTGTCATTGTGATGACTTGATTTCTAAGAACTTGTACATGTCTTTCTTGATGAAATGGAGATGTTACCAACTATTATTTTATTATTTTATTTTATTTTTTAGTTGTCACAAAAAAAATTTACAAAAAGTTTTTAAGAGATTTTACCAATTAAAGTATCCTTTTAAACAAATTTTACTTCTGTAAGAACTTGATGACAATCAAGCTTTCTTTGTATCATAGGAAAAACATATAATTGAGACAATTTCTATCATCATTTATTTATTATCATTTGACTAATAACTTTATTATTATTGAGTTTTTGAAAGTCCTATTTATTAGAACAGCTTCAACATCATGTGTTCCAATGGTGCAACAACATCTTTTGATTTCTCAATCCAAGATTTCACAATTATATTATACATACTTTAAATTAATTATATACTATCTTCAATAAAACAAAAATTTCTCCAAAAGATCGCCAACTACTCTTAATAGACCCGCTTCGTTGATACACAACACATGTATACACTAGTAAGATAGGCATTGACCTCACTTTTAGACCAGCTTCATATCAGGTTGTTTTGATGATCCAAATTAATTCTATATTCCAAAAAGCAAGTCCAAGTGTCTTTTATAATCATTCGGATTAGGAAGTTCCCAATCCCTAATAGCTCATTGAGCTGTAGTTGCAAGCCATCCTGTGATTTGGATTCATTAAATGTTTTAGGACATAAATCATTTCGCTCTAATAATTTATCCCCATGATGTTGCATGAATATTTATATACCTATATAAAATAGAGTATATCTGTGTATAGAAGTAAAATAAATCAAAACCAAAATAAAAAGCTAAACTCAAATTTAGTAAATCATTTAAAAGTTACACTATTTATTCTTCACCAAAGCTTGCAAAACACAAGACAAGGCATTTATTCCCATGTAAAACAAAACAGAAAAATACCTTATTCTCTTTTAAGTTTTAGTTAAGTGTTTAAAATGCATAAATGGAGCGTTATTTATGGGTAAACATTGTATTATTTTGTACTTTATAGTGTTTATTCTATGTTTTGTTCTAGACAATTAACAGGATAATGGGTTAAAGAGGAATGAACAAAATGCAAACAGCGCCAGGGTGCCAGAATGACAACATCACGGCATCTAACACCCACATATTAAAGGCAGACTCCTGAGAGATTAGCATCACAACGGTAGTTCAGATTATCACAGTGCCAAATATTTGGCATCGCAGTGCTGATGTTGCAGTGCTAAGCATTTAAAGAGGCCAAAAAGGAAGACAAACCCAAGAACAAAACATAGCAGCGCCAATTTTCAACGTGAAAGCACTATCATTCAGGAATGCAGCGCTGTCAAAGCAATGCCTCAGTGCTAATATCATGAAGAAATTGAAGTTAGAAAACCAAGAGTGCAGCGTGACATTTTAACACCGCAGTGCTACGGCCCAACAAAACAGTTTTCACTCTGTTTAAAAACAGGCCTCGGGAGAGTTGAGCGGCTAAGAAGTTTTTAGTTTAGACACTAGGGAGTAGATAGTGTCAGCATTTTTTTGTGGAAATAGTGTCACTGAAGTGGTGAGCAGTGTGAGTGAGTGTGAGAAGGTGAGTGTGGCTATGCAAGAGATAAGAAGCAAGAGTAGATTTAGTCTTCCAAGTTTAAATCAAGGTCTATCCTAGATAGTCTTGTATTGTATCTTAATGCTTTTGTAAATTTTATCATTGAAAATGTGTAGGAATTAAGTCCATATTTGTTGAACAAGTGTTTACCCTAAATTTTTATATATTTTGCATGTTGGTTTGGAATAATAATTAAAATTATGTTGCTCTGTTAACCTTAATCATGATTCAAGTACATTTTATCCGAGTTTATTTAAAACTTTAGTTAAGAAGTCTGGGGCAAAAATAGGGTTCGCGAAAGAAAGTGACTGGAGGTAGCAGGCAAGAGGAATGGGTTGGTCAAAGGCTTGGGGCAAAGCCAACCTTAGAGCTATCCTTGGAGATTTGAATTTACGTGTTCATATGGTAGAGAAAGAAACTGAGGCATGGATTCACTTTGGACTGTTGGGGTATAACTTTTAATGTGTTTTGAATTCTTTGGTGATATTCCAAGGGATTTGGAGGCTAAAGAATGGAGAGAAAAACATAGCCAAGGTGACCTAGTTTAAACTGATTTAACTAATCTGAGAATATTGAATCAATGAAAGCGCTTAAAGGTGTATGTTCAAGTTGAAAAGTCCTTGGAATACAAAGAAAATATGCATAAGTCAAATTGAGAGTAGTTGGTTAGATCTAAGAGGCTTAAAGGGTTGATAGAGGAGAACCAAAACTAGATCAAGGGAATATCTATTTTGGCTAACAACAACAAGATTAAAGAGGAAATGCTTTAAGAAGATACCCAAAAGATGGTACAAATGTTAGAAAATATAGAACAGAGATTAAAAGATAGAGGAAAAAATTCTAGGCCTTCCATTGAGAACAAAAATAAATGCAACGGCCATCATGCTGTCAACCCTGGAGATTACGCTCTTTAATTTTTTTCAAAAAGCCAAAAATATCATTTTCATTCATCCAGCAAATATTATTAGATTACATCATATTCTTAAGCTCATAAAAAAAAGACCTACAAACATATGAAAAAAAAAGGGCTTAGAAAGCAAATAAAAAGTTGGAATGGAACCACTCCAAAATACTCTCCATGCAATGGTGGCAGACCTCTCTCTTTCCAAAGCTACTATAATGATAATTTAAAACATGATGATTGCAATTAAAATCCTTCAATGTGACGGGAATGATTGAAAGTTTGAAAATTCAAAATTTTAAATTTAAAACTTTAAACATTATTACCATGTTAATTGTTTCAGATCAAGATTCTTTTTATCATACATGATTGATAATGCTTCCTTCACCCTTCATTTGAGCATTTGATCTTGATCTTGTGATGGGGCCATCATAGCCCTTAGTTTCACCTTAGCTTCTTAATGTTGACGAAATGATGAGATCATCATAATGATCTGCTAGATGTTTTGCATTTTTATTAAAACTACTGAAAATTTAAGAAATCTAAAATTAATTATAGGATAATTGCTTTATAAGAAATGAACGGATCATCCCTCCCTGGACTAATGATTTTAAAATAGATAAATATTACTCCCTTAGTATTTATGTGGAAACATAGCCGTATTTACATTGCCTATACCATTTCACAAAGATAAGCCATAAATCAGTAGGAGCATAGCAGATTCACATTCATGAATGGTTTAAAAACCCCAACATAAATCAATAAGAGCATAACAAATTCACATTCATAAGATTTTATGAAAAAGCCAACATATATACAGAATCTCTCACCTAACACAAACATTAGATACATGACATGGTGTATCCATGTTCCATTGACAGTCGACTTGTTATAAGCACGATTAGGTGGAGATTTACTATATTCAAGAATATTTAGTGACACTACTATTCCATTTGAAATTGTAAGACTAGTTTTTAAGTAATTTGATTTTAATAATCAAAATTTCCATTCTCTTTTCTTGAAAGCATATCTCCCATAGTGTGGAAATAAGTAATCCTTATGCTCCTTAGCTAAAAAAGCTGAGTCCAATAACCCGAGATAATGGATAAAATAGTGCTTCCTTCTCCCTCGTGGATTTCCTGCATGTACCAATACCCTTTTTGAGCCCATTCATCCTTTGTTTTATTTTAAAATTTGCTCCATATTAGAAAAAAAAAAAACACAATAAATAAAATTGAAACAGACATAACTCCTTATTAGAGAGTCAATGGAATGGAATGAAATAATCAAAACTTTTGTTCCTCTGAGAACTCTCAACCTCAAAATAAAATTAAAAAAAAATATTTTTTGAATCATAAATTTAACTTGGGAGAAATCTGTACGAAACATAAATTTTGATTTATGGTTCACAGACCCTTCAGAGTTTGTGTTATTGTTGGTTAATATTTGATAAACATCTTGACCTCCATTCGGAACATTTCTTTATCATGTCCTTATCAAATATCCTTCAAAACCATAAATACAAAAATTCCTCTCAACAATTGGTAAGACTTGGAGTTGGGAGGAAATCTGAGATGTAAAAAAACAGAGGAGAGCGATAAGATGGATAATACCATAAAAGATGAGATTTTATCTAAAAGGATCGATCATTATAAGCTATTTTGTACTTATTTATTAAGAAAATCATAGGAATAACTGTTAAAAAAATATTCCTTAATATAAGCTAACAAAGTTGAAAAAAAAAATCTTCTTATAGATAGCTTATGGACCTTATCAAAAGGTCGACATCAATTCTTCAAAGATATGAAAAATTCACCTTAAAAGAATTATGTTGAAGGTACTCATCAAGCAATGAGGAGAAATGGAATGAAGTCCATTATGTAACCTATGAATCATCAAATAGTAAACGGTGTCCCTAAAGAACCCAATTTAACTTCATCATATGGAATTTATTCAGCATACGATAAAACTGGAGCAGGTGTAATAATGAAAAATTGCAGCTACCAAAGAAGCAAAAAAATAAAAATAAAAAAAAAACATGTATAGAGATAACTGTATGAAACTTTAAAAATTGCCTTTACATATGATAGCCAATATTCAAATTAAAGATCAAAACTAATGTTCAGGTT